AGAATTTCAGCAAGGAGAGAGAATAATGAATTTTTACAAGACTTCTGTTTTATTTGTTTTCTCTTTGTTGTAACATCTAAGGAAAATATAGTTCATGATTAATCATATGTATGCCCATGGATGAATCTCAGTTCTTCAAATGATACAGAACACTGCAAAGAAAGTAATATTTTCCTAGGCATCTTACCATTATTCAAAGATTCTGTAGCCTGAGGAAAAGTCTTCAGTCAGATTTGACAGATCCAAGCATCAATCTGTTAAAGCAGAAACAAGGTGATCTGTACCATCTCTGCAGGGGCATCTCTTATCCCCTTATCAGTTTAAAAAAAATACGAACAACAAAGCTGGCAAACAATTATTTTCTCTCTCTTTTTTTCAACATAACTATGATAGTAGTAATGGAGCTTACACAGCAAAGCAGTGGAGGAAGAAGAAGCATTAAGTTTTGTCATACCTGAAATAATACATTAGTGGAACTTTCTGCAAACTAATTAAGTTAGAAACTTAAATTATGGTCTCTTCTTTTCAAATTGTTTTGATATTGTATGCTGTTCAAGTTATTTTGGTACCTGAAGCAGAAAACCAAGAAGCATTTTGATTTTAGTTCCTTACCTCCATCTCTCAGAAGTAAAATCGTAAAGCCAAAGTCATAACAGATTGGGACCGCCTGTAAATCTCATAAATATTTGTTATTTGTTTAATTTTTGCAGCAGCTGCTCCACGTTGCCTAATGGCAGAGTCATGGGCACACACAAAGAGCCTGATGGAAAGAAGGGAATATTTTCTGTTTCTGCAACTTCATGATCTTGTCCTTCCTTTTAAAGCAAAGTAACTTACTTCAGCAGAGGCAAACACGTAATTCGTTATATCAAAATCCTCAATTTTGAACAATAGTAATACATTTGCTCTCTGAAAATAAGAAAAAACAAGGCTTCGTTGATACCCATCATTTCACTGTGTCATAGCAGACAAAGCCACTGCTGTCTACTTGGTTATATAGTGTTGTGGTGGGTACTTAGGCATTGCAGTGATTTAGTACTTCAAAACAACAGAGCAGACAGTCATACAAAGTTATTGTATGTAATACTGTAGTGCTTTCTATGTCTCAGGTCATGCAAGTTTTAGAATAAGATGAAGATATACAAGAAAGAGATTCTATTTGGAATTCAGGGCATGCAGTAAATTGAATCTCTAATTTAATTGCAGCATGGATGTTATTTGCTTTTTTTAAAAATTTCCATGAATTCACAAACCTACACCGTAATTAAGATCACGTGAAGTAGTAATACCACTTTATAAATCCTTAGTAAGACCACACCTGGAATACTGCATCCGGTTTTGGTCTCTACATTACAAAAATGATATTGAGATTTTGGAAAAAGTGCAAAGAAGAGCAACCAAGGTTATTAAATTCCTGGAGACAAAAGCATATGAAGAACGGTTGCAGAAAGTGGGTATGGCTAATCTAGAGGGGATAAAAAGGACTAGGGGTGACATAATAACAGTATCCCAGTATTTGAGGGGCCACCATTAAGAATAGGAGGTCAACTTATTTTCAAAATCTCTAGAAACCAATCAAGGAGGGAAGCAACCTGGTATTAAGGAGAAACTTCCTAACAGTGAGGGCAATTAACCAGTGGAACAGCTTGCCTCCAGAAATTGTAGGTGCTCCATCACTGCAGGTTTTTAAGAAAAGATTGGACAGCCACCTGTCTGAAATGGTATAGGGTCTCCTGTTTGAGCAGGGGGTTGGACTGGAAAACCTCCAAGGTCCCATCCCTATTCTAATTGATTGACCCTGTTAAATATGGCACCGCCATCCTGTTCAAGTTCAACCAACACATATACAAGCTGATTGCCAGACCACCTGACAGGCCAGGGATGTGGGGACCAAACCCATTTTTCCTATTTGACAATGTTGTCTGTTCAAGCTGAACAGCTGAGACTGCAGCCCTCCAGTTTTCATATTGTTTGTGTACTTTTAATTTATTAAATACAAATTTAATGGAGATGAAAACATACATTTCTCTCAACGCAGAGAAGTATGTTGCAGTATTAGGAGAAATACAAAATCTGCCACTGGCCCAACCCTGCCTGATTCACAGGTTACTCCAGAAGTGGGGCTCAGGATTTATTCTTTTATAAGAATGCCCAAAAACAGGGCTCCGCAACACGCCTAGAATCCACTAATACTTTTTTTCATTTTTTTTTTGAAGGAAATGTTTTGATGAGCTGCAACTCTAAATATGTGAAGGCTGCCAGCCATTGCTTTTGTCCAAGTATTAAGTGGGGAAATTACAGCCTAACTCTCTTCCTGTTTATTGTAAACAACGTGGCCAGCCTAGCAATGGAGTCTGATTAGTCCTTTGCACCTTTTGTGAAAGGATCAAGAGAACCCTACTGTTTTCGGTGTTTGACTCCAATTTGCATCTTTAAAGAAGCTTGACTGCATTAGGATCCAGATTTCAATTTCTTGAATGCTGGACATAGTTGGTACAATGCATCATACAATTAACCAAGATCCCCATTGTAATACACTTCTTTTAATGCAAGCGCATATTCATGTTATTTTTCTGATGCCACTTTGAAAAAGAATGGACCACCCATCCCTCTGAGAAGTTTTCTGGTTTTTGGGGAGGAAATATATCTGTGCCAGGAGAAAGCATTTTGAAAAGAGAGTGGGGTGGGATGGGTAAAGGGATGCTTCTTTCTGGAAAATCTATCTATAAAAGTCACGAATCAGTGTCAGTGGAAAAGCTCATGAAAGAAATTACTGTGTGTGCAACTAGATGCATGTAGTATATGTTGATGTACATTTCTATCCTAAATTACATTTATATACATTTTATATGGTAAAATGGATAACATGTGGTTCTGCATGCACAGCATGAACCTTTGTATTAACCATGTGCCAGGATTANGAGAGAGAGAGAGAGAAGGAGAGGGAGAGGGGAGAGAGGAAAAAGAGAATCAGAAAATAATTTCTTTCCTCACTGGTATCCTATAGTAAGAAAAAAAATAGATTATTTTGGGGGGAAATGTAATAGTGGTATATGTGTCGTGGTTGTCTTGGTCAACTATAAAATGTTGTAAATGAATTAGAGCAGATGATGATAAAAAAAACTTTCCTGGAATTGATAGCCTTGAATTGTGATAAGAATTTTGAACAATTCTTCAGATATGAGTGTTATCTAACTTTCTGTCTCTTAAGCTTTTGCATAATTAAGAACTTAGGATCCTGATCAGTGGCCAGGAATCTAAGAATTGAGCATTGTGTCAGGAACACTGTTCAGTGCCGATGGACAAAAAGGAATTAATATATGTCATAAAAGTAAATAAATAGTTCTAATAAGGACAGATGCTTTCTATGATGGAAGCTCCGGTGAATTTCCTTGGCATCTCTAGATTAAAGGATTAGGCTGCAGTTTCGATTACAGTAGACAATGTTCTGCATAAAAGAGTTTCTTTGATTCCTTGGTTTAAAGCCTGATGAAAATGTGTGGCAATCCAATGATATGTGGATCTTCCACAAGTCCGTATTCGCCAGACCTTATCAGAAAGCTCTTTGGCAACTCTTTCCCATATCAAAAACCTGAGCTGTCCATTTCAAAAGCTTCAGCCCAAAGTCCCCTGAAGCCTGTCTGTTTGTTTGCTTGAGGCCCTGGACTTTCCTGGGTTCCCTGCAGAAATCATGAATTTTGTTTCCAGGGAGTTCAGAAATACAGAAGCGGGGGGATCAGATTGGAGCTGCCCGTCACCTTCTGTTCTTTGTGCCCCTTTTCTCATTCATCTGTTAGCCATGGCCACCCTTTGCCCACGCAGGGAGTGACAGCGACTGCCTGAAATGCCTCTGCCCTGGAGAGAGAAGAGGGGACCTTTTCACAATTTCCACGGGCCAGATAGTTGCGTCTTCTGTGTAATATGCTCATCTCTGTCTTCTTGACTCCCAGCCTCTGGGAAACATTGTGCAGAAGAGGAGGTTGGCTTTGCAGATCTTCCTGTCAAAAAGATGAAATAATAAACAAACAAACAAACAAACCAATAAATAAATAAATAAAGCACCTATGGTGCTGGAAGATGCTGGTGTTGAAATTCTCCCCCTAGATTAAAGTTTTTTCAAAGGGGACGATAGAGG